ATGTGCCCGTGCTATAGGCGGTTAGAGAAGATGCACTTTTTTAAACTGCGAAACAATGAATTATCTCAAATTGAATTATATTTCTTTTCGAATGTAATTGATTGTACATTTGAAATTTCTACGCGATTTGTTACAATCAATAATTCAAACGATTTCACTTATAACAACATATTCCATCTGATGGCAGTCAATTACATCGGATCATGGCTAATAAATTGAATATGTGAGACAATTCACGAAACTGTTCAAGTAAAAATTTTCGAAGTTCATTTTACACTTTTCCGTCATTGAATTTGCTGCATCAAGTTGTTCTCTCTTTTCCTGCATCCAATCCCATCCAAAAACACCGTTAGTGAATTTTCTTGCTCATACTGGACATGTAATCACTAATTCATCCTCAAATCAAGTACTACATTTACAGGGGATTTAGAAACATATCGGCAGTTGGAAGGGATTCAGCACATTCTTGTTTTGACTCGAATTTGCAATCAAAAATATTATTTTTTAATGGATCAGCTGAATCACAGATTGAATTTTGACGTATTTAATGATAGAGCAGATCGAAAATAACTGACTATTTGAGCGATTAAAAAATTCGCGCAGCAACTTGTTTTTTAAACCGCATTATTAAAAACTTTTGAAAATAAAAGATCACTCTGAAAATCGCTTCATCCCATGTCTCTCCATGACACTGTATATTGTCTCTTCTCTCTCTGCTGAAATTCAGATTCATTCGGATGTATTATTCCGCGCTGAATGATATGCATCTCGTTTATTCAACGTTGATTTCTCAATTTTGAGATGATTCGTTGTGATTACATACCGGTTAGGCAGTTTCAATTGTCCTCTTACATGGATTATTTCAATTGATCTGTCTGCGTAATACGATAATTATCATGAAAGGCTCGGTTGAGAGCGATAATTTCGGTTGGTAAACACTGATTATCAATCAGTTAATGATCATTTTAATTCTGATAAATAGTGGTTATTGTTCTGAACAATATATGTACACATATGAAGTGCTTTACTGATTCACTGATGTGATATGCGAATACGTTGAATAGTTCAGTATTGTTCTTCATTTGATTTGCATAAGAATTAGGATGACTTAAATTTTGATTTATTGTTTTAGCACTGAATTGTTTATAAATATCGGACGAGTGAGCTTATTCAGTAGCATTTGTTATGAGATGCTAGCAGTCGGCTTTTACATCACATTGTGTACACCCACCAACCATAAACGTACGTATGCAGAATGCTTCTCTTCATTTCACTCCGTATCATAATCCTATCACAACTCACGCTTTTATTGGCGTCAATAACTGTTCGTTCGTACATTTCGAGCTGATTATGAATGGTCCGTCCTTTCACGTTATACGTCTATCCTTCGACGAGTCTATCAAGCATCTGTCTCTTGGCTTACTTTAGAATGAACTGCGAATAAAGTCAGTAGCTGAATACTTTTCTGTAAATGAATTGGGTTTAGTGTCACCGTCATCTTATCGTATCATTCAGTTCAGTGTATTTATGCCATATCAAAAGTGAAATGTTATAATAATTGAGTGGTGCAATAACACTGTTTCAATGAGTCAACTATCATTAACCAGCGAGTCTAAGTTGAGCACGCAAATGCTTATTGAGCACTCGTCATGCGATACGAGCGCCATAAACAAGCTAATAGTCAATATAAAAAGCCCAAACAACATTTCACTGTCATTGATGTACTTGTTGGTTATTATGGTGCCCTTTTAATCCATGCCAATGGATTGTTCGTTTCAGTCGTGGTGTGAGCATTGCTCGCATCTTGGCACCTGAGTCCAGTCAATTCTGCGATCCACTTTTCTCTGTTCCAGTACTTTTTTTAGAATACTATAACTTGGAATTCATCTCTGCATGGTTAGTTCTTAACAAATCAGACTTCAGAATCATTCAGTTTGACGAATCACCGTCGATAACGTGTTTGCCAGACTTTTAGTTTTCTCTCTCATTCATTTCGTAGATGTTCACCATATTGCATTCGTCATCTTCATTAAAATTCACGTTCGTTCAAATCTCATTTATTCATGACATTCTCAAACGTCCTTTACGAAAATCAAGTCTCTTTTTCGCCAGCCATTACGCATCGTTTCTAAACAACAGTTACAAAGGAACGAACATTTCTTTCGAAAAAATTTTTGCAGATATTTTCAGTAATGTTACAACGAAGTTGTCATTGTATCAAGACATGTTTTTAACAAGTCAAACTGATATGGCGATGGTTATAGTTGACTGCTTATCATTATTTGCTTAGCAGTGGTAACGCTTTATCAATATTCATAATTGATTACCACCGTCGAAGTATTCGTATGCTCAGTTTCAGTCATATGAATGGTCTACCTGTCAGAGAGATCTCTCTGAGCAAAATAGATCAGTGAACAGTTACGGATACGAATGAGCCATATAAACAATTTTTTTCAGTGTGAAGAAATAACCTTACATTCTGATGAACCTTACACATTCTTTCACTTTGCAGTATTTATTCACCTTCAAATAAAAGATTACTTGTCTGCTCTTCTTCATTTCAATACGTTTCTTGACCTTCATCATAAACAATCCCACAGTTTTATCAACGCTATTTCAAAACTGGTGTAATTCATAAGAGCATTNAAACCAGTTTTGATGGCACACAAAAAAGATACGATTAAATAAGTAAGAATGATAGTTAGATACATTATTGGTAGCGACTTAATCTGTATTAAAAAATGTCACTTTCAAGTTTATAAAATCATTGTGAGCGTTCATCATGATTCCAGTATTGATGAAAAGTGTTTCATTTCGTATTAATTGCATTTGAAATGCATCAGCTTCTTAAATGATTATCGAGTTATTCATTATTCATGCCGCTTAAATCATCGTCATTCACCAACGATACCAAACAACACAATTATATTCCTTTCAGTGTTTCTGCTAAATGTCTGCGTCTCATTGTGTGTTCTATGTGAGGTTTATGTGGATGTATGTATGTATTTGCAAATCAATGAGATCGCTTTCGAATTGAATTTGCATGCAAGGATAAGGCATAAGATATTATGTGCAGATATACAGATAGCCAGATTGCCTTCCGAAGGCCGACTAGCATTGTGATCGCTACAATTACAATTACTATTACTACCACTAATACCAGTAATGATGCTGTTACTGATGCCATATTGCACTAATACGCCGTAGTAGGTTTGTCTGTTTTGAGTGTCGTGTGCCTTCCGTTCAACGCGACCATACACGATGAATTAATCTAATTCACTATATGTTCATTCCTGGATATTGATATATGTTTATGCATCTATATTCATGCATTTACGATTATTTATGGACCTTTCATGGAATCTTATACAATATTAATGTCCCTCCTTCGAACAACAATAATTTACCGTCATATATAACAACCAAATGCACGTTGTTCATCTTATCGCTGATTACCACAAATGAAATATCGTTTTGCTTCTGTGAAAATGAAACTACCAACAAAGTACCGTAACAGATAATAGATGAAAAGTAAAACGAGCAAATCAGCGGTAAGCAAGTAATAAGCAGTGATGGTTAATTAAAAGTATACGTATTCATAGATGTAGAGTAATTTTAATAGAAATGAGATATATGCTAGTGCTATGTATAGCCATGTTGTATGTACGAGTTGTGCTGGATATATGGGTTTTGGTTGATTGGCTAAGAGTGAAGCAATTACTCGGGTTGTTATAGAACGATTGTTGCAAAAGAAGACAATTACAGTAGGGCGTGGTCGTCGAGAAAGGATGTACGTGATCGGTCATTTGGAACATCATTTACTTTATTTGGGCTTGGAATAAGGAGGAGATAGATTAGACAATATGGAATGAGATGGATCAGTGCTAGAAGGATGAAGGTAGTTTCTAGCGAAAGGTTGTATTACTGCTGGTATGTCTCGTCAGCCAGCCCTAAGGGCAATACCAGCAGCGTTCTTCTTCAGTTCGTGAAACCGCCCACTGCAACCGGTTGGCTGGCTGCTTGAATGGATGGTTAATAGTAAGATGACTACTGACTGGATAATGGCTGTTCCGCTGTTCCACTAGTGATTGCTTTATGAGAAAATAGAAGAAAAAACAACGCGATAAAGTGAACGTACGTTTCAATGGAAAAGGGGAAGGAGCAGTGCGTAAGCAGCAGCAGCAGCAGCAGCAACAGCATCTTCCAAACAACCAAGTACCTCGTTGTTGTGCTCTTCAATTCCATTCATCACACCGTATAGATAGCTACATTGATACGTACATCGTGCATCTGAGCACAGCCATTCCTCCATCTATTCCCATCGGCAGTCTCATGACGACCCCAACGACAACGTCCATCTGATCCAGCGCATCGTTTCGTTTTCAACAATCAATAAGATATCTTCCTTCTCGTCATATATTGACAGCCAGTCACTCGTCTACAGCACACATCCATATATATCTCCTCGATGTTCATTCTCGTCAACGCATTGTCTTCTCTCCTCCTTACAACTCCACCCATAATAACTAATAATACTAATACTGTAATGTGAACAACGGAACCGAACTGCTCATCCGTCCACCCTCCTTTCTTCCAGCAGCCAGTTATCGTTTATCTCTGTATTCTTCGCCGTTAAACATTTGCAGCCATGCTCCGGTTTGATTCGTTACGGCATTATCTTCATATTGCAAACTTATTACTAGCATTATCAAATTCGTTCGTTTTAAACATTCGTGTTTGAATCATTCACTTGTGATTTTTTCATTTATCACTTCTCTTTATTGTTTCTTCATTGTACAGTATTTCTGCTGATAACCAGTTGCGTATCTATCTGTTTACCTGTACGCGTGTTGTATGTGTGTTTGCATCTGTATGTTACTCTCTATATATTCCCAATCAGTATTCGAATACAATACATTGAGGCTTTCGTAACGCCCATGAATATCGAATGAATCATGAATAAAGGAAATATCTGATACATCTGTTATTTCAGCTTTGCTATGTACGATGAGAACAGTAACGCGGCCGCTGCAGCAGCATCGGCAGCGCTCGGTACCAGTTCAACGTCAACAGCAGGTCTGATGTCACAGTTGTTGAATGTCAAGGATTCCAGATGGTTGCAACTTGAGGTGTGTCGCGAATTTCAACGTGGTCAGTGTTCACGATCTGAACTCGAATGCAAATTCGCGCACCCGCCACCACACGTCGATGTACAGAATGGTCGTGTCACAGCGTGTTATGATTCCATAAAGGTTACTTATTACGATTCACTCATTCTAGTCTATCAGTAACAGAGGTGAGTACACATCGNTACGTACATGCTCTTATAATAGCCGCACAATTTCAGCTTCAATAACCATTCCATTTCCTCTATTACCACGAAAATTATCGCCAATTTCATAGCACTTATTGTTTATATGATTGATTTTTATTGCACACGACAACTGAACGCTGAACGCGAGAAAGCATTTCGAAGTGATGCCAATGAATTAGCATTGATATGAACTTTGATGTGATCATTAGCACTTTTTTGAAGCGTTCTGCTCTATCAGTCGTTCGATATGATCACATTTGCACAACTGTTATCCTCGATCAGATGCTCATTTTCATTGGTCGTTTCATCAACACTTCCACTTGACTATCCATAAGTCTTAATCTGCATTTTACTTTCAACTCATATTGCGAAATGCATTAGTCCTCGTTTGTTGACAAAGCAGAGTAAAATGGAGAAATTAAGGCAGATGTGTAAAAAATAATTTCCGAAAATAATTTCAATTCATCCGCATAGATTTTTCGTCGGAGTTGCAAGCACCATTAGGAGTGGGCTATGAACATGTGTAGTCTCGAACAGAATACCGAGACAAAATGCATTGAAAGCTACAGTTCTTGTCATTGAGTGACATTGATTTCTGTTACCGTTTCCTAGCGAATAAACGAGAACAAGAACGAATTCGATTAAAAATGACTCATCAGAAATGAGATTTCGAAAGAATTTCTCCAAAATACTTCTTATCAAACAAACTGAATCAACTTTTGAAATCAGAAATTGAGTCGTCATGAAATATGTATAATCGAAATTGTCTTCAGTTCACATGCAAACATCGCAAAAACACCATCGTATCATCCGTATATTTCATACTGCATTTTTCTTTGTCATTTAGCATCATAGTTCCGTCTGTCAGTTTGCCAATTGCATGCCAAATATTGGATGCTCATTTCGAAATTGATTTTAATTGCTCATTAAATCGTTCCGAACAGATAAATTGTTCATCACTCCTCTGAGTGTTCCTAACGATGACCACTTTTGTTTTGTACACCTCTCGCAATGCAAGATATAAGGGCCCAAAGGCATTTCCATGATTCAAGAGCCAATTTCACTCCTTTTATGGTCAGTTAAACTATTCACCTAATTCCATCAGACATTTTCGACTGTGACTCATAATCTGAATATCGGAACTCAGCAAGTTTTCCCATAATGCTCTTACTTCTTTCTCTACGATATCGCATTCGAATAGTCAACTAATGCATTTTGAAAGAGTCATCAATAAATTCTCATATCCATCATCAAGTATTGCAGATTCGTAATGCCATCTGAATCATGCTTTTTTGTAAGAAAAAAAGGTGGCCAATGATATGGAAGAATTTCAAATTGTTTCTGCGAAATTTGTTTCATCAGACATACCGAATGCCGCGAGAGGCCAATTTTCTTGAGTAGATCCTATATTAGTTCAGTTGATTGTTTCAATTCTTGTGACGAATTTAATTATTGAAAGAAATCGAATGTCAAACAGTTCAGTTTGATTATATTTTCAATAATCGAAATGATAAAATTATAGGAGAGTTTTGTGTAAAGATTTTGGGTTTAGATTAAGAAAACGATTGATTTGGAACGGTGCGAGTGATAGATAGTTCGATAGATAAATGAAAAGTGCGGATAAATGAATTTGTACTTGTCTTGTAGTTGTGACCAATAAGAAGATATCGATTTTGTGACGATTGTGAGTGGGTGATAAAAATTGGTTGTGATGTGAATTTCGAAGATGTATGGTATCTGAAGAACACTGGCAATGTCATAAGTACATTCAAATACAGACTAAATTACATCGTTTAATAAGGTGACTGGCTGGTGTGAATGTGATGCAAAATTGCTCTCTTCTTCGCAAAAAGCGTGAAATCATTCACTATCATAATTCATTTTCCCAACATATCAGATTTCAAACTGAACGATGTCAGCTGCATTCCATCCGCAGTTAACCTTCACATTCAAAATAACAACAACAACGCAGTTGCAAAGCGCACAGCACGAAAAAATAGAACGTAATGACCGCATACGAATCTCTCTTCAGTGAAACCATTGGAATCCATCAGATTTTGTTCCTTTTTTCACTTTCATCCAATTTTTCATTGCTGTTACACAAAAATATTTTGTTTTCGATTACTAATCAAGGCACAATCGTTCTAAAAATGAAAGTCTGCTGGAAATACCTCCGTGTATTGTTGAACAAATTTTTAAGGAACGATTCCCTGAGATTAAGTTATCAACAACGACATAAAATTGCACTAACCAACAGCTGTTGCAAATTTATCAATTCATTTCTTCGCTATCATGCTTCAGTGGACATTTCATTGATGCCAGTTAAAGAGTCATTTATATATTTTCGATTTATGCAAGACACTTTTAAGGCCTTGTGTTGTTATCATGTGGATGTTACTTCGATTTTTTTCACTGAAACCGATCATACTCATATTTTAGTCGAATCCTGTGAATGTCATGTGTGACCAATCGTGATTTCAGAGTAATTTCGGATAGTTTCTACTTTGCTTCGAGTGAATTTGAGCTAATTTCTTTGAGATAGTTATTCATTTGTGATTTTGTAAAAGAGTTGATTCTTAAGGTGAAATTGTAAAAAAGGTGAGGTTCATAATCACGAACCGGACAGCTGTCTTCAAGTACTGCTATTTCTGAAGTTACCACTCTCAGTTATATATATNTATATATATCTCAGTAAATTTTAATGCATCAATTTTGATTCAAACATGCAGTAGTTAGCATGTTTTAATTGTCAGTATAATACACATGGCTAGCTGTTCATCAACTTGATTCATCTTATTTCCACGAATAGAGTCAGACATTGTGAAGGATTAATATCTCTGATTGAAAAAATCCTCTCCCCATATTTCCTTAGGGAATTTGGTGACAATACTGAGTTGCTGAAACAACTTCCATTTGTTCGGAAACAATTCAAAATTTCTAAAACATTCACATTCGCTATCTTCTATTGATTTCCGAATCTTAATATAGAACAAGTATCCGTACTCCTCCATTCAGGAACATGTATTGATCTCTGCATGCTATTTTTTTCATTTTTCAAGCGTTATTTTTATGCAAATCCATTCAGATTCGGCTGACTGGACCTGAACGATTAATTGATCAATATCACTGTTGTTTTTCGTTTATCCGAGAGGATAAAGGAACGGAGAAATTGATCATAATCTATAACATTCTAATGCAAAAATGCACTTTGTAAATTAATGAAACGACAGCTGTAACCTAAAGTATTTCAAAGATGAATTCGGTCGAGAGAACCGTCGTGTTCGGTAAGATAAGCTCAGACGAGAGAAGAAGTTGAGAAATGTTCTTCTTTTTGTACGCTTATTTGCTGTTTTGCAACTGAAGAAGTGTAAAATTGAATTTTCAGGGTCGTTGTACACGTGAGAATCCGAAATGCAAGTATTTGCATCCACCGCAACATTTGAAAGATCAACTTTTGATAAACGGCCGAAATAATCTGGCGTTAAAGAATTTAATCTGTACACAGCTAAATCAGAACGCAGCCGTGGCGGTAGCCACCCAGCCGTCGTTATCGAGCATGAATCCGTTAACTCAGTTAGTGGTGAGTGGTCAAGCAAGTCCAGCGCTAGCCGATCCCATCCTGCTCTTCCAACAACAGCAACAACAACAGCAACAAGCCAACGCACCACAAACCGCAACACTCATCCCAACCACCGCAATTCCCTATCAGTATTACCAAGGTCTTACCACAATGTATCCGACTGTATTACAGCTTCCTGCGAATTCCGATGCTGCTGCAGCTGCATATCAAGCGGTAAGTTGATCAGTGGCTGCTACGCTACACCATTTACTTTTGCCCTCCTCTGCCCGGGTACGGTCTCTGTACGTTTATCATTATTATTCTTATTATCGTTTATTACCTATCACTCTCGACTTGGTGTGCTTGAAGTTCTCCTTTACCAGCGCAACATTATTTATTGTTTTTTGCCTGAAACGCTTTTCAACTTTTCTGTTGTTGTTTTTTTTGCTTAGTGAACGATATGAATGCAGAATTGAAGCATTAAATTAAAATCGTATCACCAAAAAAGATACCGTGTCTTGGCAGTGAGGTTCTGAAGTAAATCAATGTGCAGTTGGTTAAATTCAATCTGCTGATGATGCATTTCTTTCGTCGTTCGTGTTCTCAATGGATCGTTTGTAATTGTCATTTCATGATTCAGTTAGTTTACCAGGTTAAGCACACCAACATGAAACACCGTTGTAGCCAGTCTTAGCCACCTGATCGAGACAGTTTTCGTTTGCACATTTCATAAGTTAATTATTACTCTGATATTGACTGAAGTAGAGCAATACCAGAATTAAATGCAGCGGACACGCAAATCGCANNNTCAGTCCTTCACAGCAAAATGATTCCCACAATGATATTTCCAATGCTAGGAATTCTTCCGGAGAGTGATTTTTCGAATGAAATTGGATAATTTGCGCTGAATTTGCAGCTCCACGTAACAGATGTGATAAGAGCGTATTTAGAACTAGAGAGCTGCTGAATGAAGAATGTCGAATAATTTCCCAGCACAAGTAGATTCATGTGGCTTTCGCAAAAGTTTTCGTACTCATTCAGTTTCGAAAATTCACTGACAAGAAAAAAACGAGAAATTTGACGGCAAGTCATTCATTTATATCTCAGCCGAGAAACTTCTATTGGCTTGCAAATTTTTGCGTTAAGAAAGATTCGCTGTGATTTTCGATTGCCATAAAGTCAAAAATACGTGAGTGCACACCTCTGAAGTGCCAAAAGAGACCAAACAAGAAGCTGTTTTGTTATAAATACACTTCTAATTTAAAGAAACAAAGTACACGTCGTGGGCTGTTATTCAGTCTCGAGGTCGTTTGCATAAGCTGGCGTCTTGAGGTTTGAGGGTGTTTAGAAATTTAAAGATTAAGTGCGATATGAGTGTAAACTGAGGTACGGAAGTGAGACGTCGTTTGAGTAGGTCACTGAGACGACACAATCGACGGAGTGATGAAATGTGATATAAGGATACTCATTTTGCCGATACTCACTCCAGTTTACTGCACGATTTTTTAACGAATATGACGGAATAATCGTTTCATGAGACAACTTCTTCTAAGCATTCTAGTGGTCAAAAAGTTAACTGATGAGTTGTGCCGCCAACGACCTTAACCTATAGATTCTTGAATTTGCTCTCTTCGACACAAAACATTAGAATGATTTGACGCTTAGTCGATGTGACCTTATATGTGCATCATTTTGATCAGTAACATTGCTAGTTATACTCGAAATACAAGAATAACGAAAAGCAGTGCTTCTGAGTTCTGATTTTCTCTCTCTCCGAGAAACTTTGAATATTCTCAAATATTAGGGGATATCGTCGAACATCGTCAAGGTATCACTAAGCTTGAAGTATGATAATGACAATTACAATTGATCCTTATCGAAACATTGTCGTTCCTCTCGAATCTCAAAATTAAGCATTATCAGTGGAAAATTGATTTGCATCGTTGGCCTGCTTGTGTGTACTGTGAACAAATGCGATCTCGTTAAGAAATTCGTGCCTTTCTGTTGCTTTTTTGGGGTTATACGTCCATATCCTTAAGTCGGGTTCAGTTAAATCGAATCAGAATGTTTGAGTTGATAAGTACGGTTAGTGGGCACACACCAGAGAGGCATGGCCAGTGATGATCTAAATAAGGTGTGAAATAAGGGTGAGATGCGAAAAGAAATGCACGTGAATGTGATGTTGTGTGGTGGCTTGTTAAAAAGAGTGTGCATGGCTTATGGCTGACGGCGTTTTCCCTTCAGCAAATGCAAGCAGCACAATTGGCTGCCCTTCAAAGTCTAGCGATGATGCAGCAGACGAGCACTTCGAGCAGCAACGCCATCTATACAACACCTCATCCCAGCATTCAGCAGCAAACCAACGCTGCCATTCCAAATACACTTACCAATACAGTTACCAATACAAACCGTAAACGAGCGTTTGATGATGAAAATACACATCAACCACCACAACACCATCATCCTCAGCCTTCTATCGATCACAGTCCTTTACTGCTAGCTGCTGCTGCTGCTGCGGTATCAATTTTGTTTCGTTCTATCTTATATCTATCATCTTATTATTATCAGTGAGTTATACCATTGTCATCATAATCATTATAATCACTGTTTTTGTTTGTTCTCAGTTCGCAGTTTGCAGCAGCTCACTTAATAATGCTGATGTGTTGGATGAGCACAGGTGTCTTTTCAAGCTGTAAGTGAGTTATAACCAGCATTGAAATGATATCAAAGAACTTGTCTCGTGCCCTCATCAGCAGCAGAGATATGTTGTGTGTGCTCGCATGTGCTGATCAGCTGCTTGGATAGGTGCAGTTGCGATTAACAGATCTGTTTAGGCCGGTGCAGTCCCGTGCAAACGACCCGCAGTGGACAAGAGTGGTATTCCGGTCTATGCAAATGGCGCTGCTCCAGGCACGGCCCAGCCGAACGCCCAACTCGCGCAATTACCACCCGCTACGTTCAATCCATATCTGATACCAAACCTTCATGGCTATATGCCGACTGTTTCATGTAAGTGGCGCATGCAGCAAGCTTCATCGCTAATTCCGCTTATTTTCAGTTAGTGGCCAGATTCCACCGCGTTTCTAATGATGGTCCAGGCCCGGCTGGCTGGCTGCTGCTCAGTTCAGCCCTGCCCTGCCCTTCTTCTTCTCTCTTGTCGCAACATTCTGTGATCTGATACGGTGATTGATGTTTCATAGCAGCGTTAGCAGCCTGTGTTTTTTTCTTATGAAGAGCGGCCGGCGGCTGACGCTTTTAATTGTTTTTATTATCGTTCTCCACACACCACTCTCAATGCTTTACGCTTAGCCAATGCGCTGCTCAAGCTTAACAATCGAACCGTTGAATATAGATACTCATAATACTCAATTAGTCAATCTCATATTCCTTTCTAACACTCTTAACTAACGCGGCGATTAGTTTCTATCATTACTCTTCAGCTTGTACATCCACCTTTTTCTGAAATGATCCTTCATCCCATATCCAACCCTCAAATTTCAATTTGCCGAACTGCCATCCATTTTTTGAAGTTTTTCACTTTTGGCTCACTCAGCGTTGTTTGCAATGTTGATTCTTTTTTTCTAAAGCCAAAGCCATTTTGCCTTCAATTCTGCTCTATAGTGCCTCTGCTCGCAGCGTGCTAATTGGCCTTTATTATTATCATAAATTGGTGTGAAGATGGCAAGAAACGCATAGCGATTTGCTGGCTTTATAGATTCAACAAAACGTATTGAGGGTTGGAATGGGAATAGTCGGGAGGGGTCAAGGGTATCGGTAGGGACAGCTAGGGTATCGGGTTAGGTTCATAGCTACTTAGTCCGATTGACTGGTGCCCACAACCGGATTAGCTTAAGCGGATAGGGAGTAGGCTACACGAGTGGTTGTTGTCCCATACCCATATTCCGCCCAAAGCTCGCTTAATTGTGCCCGAAAAAGGAAATGTTTGTTGTGTTATGCAGTAATGATGAAACAGTTATATAAAATTGAACTGTTTGTTCATATGTTGTTTTATTACACTGTATCATTTCATTATTATGTATAAATAATAATATAACTTCATGTGATTAGCATATAACACAGTGTCAGATACCACCACTCGTAATGCACCACTGCCTTCTTATATTATATCATATTTCATTTCATTTCGTTTCAACACATCATTACAGTGCATCCTCAACACGTTTTGCTTAGCGATTCGCTTTGAATTCCTTATTCACCTGTGCAAATGTTATAGTTATCTTCACGTTCAAATTTATTATTTTCTCAAAAGCCAAAAAAGCAAAAACTTTATCGCTCTGTGCGCATTATGGGTGCTGAAGGTGAAGGGTTCTTCACATCGTTCTCGTAAAAGCATGGTTTTACTGATTGGAGGATTAATGAAGGTGAGTGGTTCAGGTGGCGATTAACAGATGCGAAATTTGAATGAAAAGTAAATTGTCAGTTGACAATAAACGATTGTAAATTCAAATGATGTGTATTCTGTCTGTTTACATTGAATTGGAACAACTAAAATTGATGATGTGAGTAAGGAACAAAAAGATAAGAAATTCAGTTGGGAGATTATTGAGTTGAATGATCAGTTTACAACATAAACTTGCAATATTATCGGGGTTGTAATTTTCTGATCTTGTTGAGAGATTATGATTTGTTGACAACATTCGTGAATATAGCTCTACGCATGCTTCCCTCAAACACGAAAACGAACACTTAGTTTCAAGCGATCCACTGTTTGTTCATAAAAGGTGCAACAACCATTAATCCTGTTAAGAAGCAATTTCAACGGCTTCAAAATTCGGTACCGTCATTGGAATCTCATGTGATCAACAACAGATCACGGGGCAGATACTTGAATCTGAAATTCAATTGAATTTGTAAACTCGAAGAGCAAGGAAGGATCATTGCCATGTGCAGTTAATCGAGAAATTGTCTGCATAACATCTTGAAATATCATCAAATGTTAGTGAACGCTACAGAATTAAATTGTTAGTGGACTATAAACGATTACAAATTCAAACGATGTGTACTCTTTTTATATAGATTGAATTGGAACAATTGAGATTAACGAACCGTTCATAATTAAAAATGTAAGCGATCAAACGTTGTTACTGCAATGCGTAAATGCTCGATGATAGGTTGCAGTCATGAAACGAATATCCCTGAAGAACCATTTGCAAAAGCATGAATGAAATTCGGATGAAATCACAGGGATAAGTGGAGTGGATTTTCGTCTGACGAACGTTTTATCCATTCAATATATTGTTTGCTTCTGGCAGAATTGAGTCATCGTTATTTTTATTGCTGATTGCTGAATGTGGGGTTTATTGCTGAATGCGATTTCAATTTTTGCCCATTTTATGCATTTGGAACATTCAGTTGAGACGAATTGTTCCAACTATTAGTTCCGTTTTGAAACTTTCTCATTGCAGCACTAGGAAACATTATGGTGTACACGGAATGAAGGCAAATAAAGTGATGAAATGTTGCAGTTTTCATGTTCATGCTAAAAACTTTATAACATGTTAAATCAGGAGTTCAAATAAAAATCTTAATGATAGTGTTATATGCTTTATGAAGTCGGCGGATGTCACCTCAGATTACCTCTTTAATCACGTCAACGGGTATCCGCTGAGATCAATGCGTATTTCATACCGATTTTCAAAAATTTGTTTCACTGATGTATACTGTGATATTTATTGGTNGGTAAACAGTATTCAATTGAGTACAATTAAAATCAGCACGGAATTAACGAATGACTAATTGTTTCTCGAGGATTTTAGTGTGGTACTTGATGTATGTCAATATTTGGCTGGTAGTCTGCATCAAGAAAACGTCATTTGAAATAGTTTGAGAGCTATTAAACAATGACCATCACAAATTTCAAGAGTTTCAATCTTCTTGAATTTTGAACCATTCTTTCTGTTGTTGATATGCATTGGGCAAACATATTTTCCCTTGATATACAGCGCTTTTTTGTGCTTTTTGAACATAACTGAGTTCTTCAACTGGACTGTAAAGTGAGAAGCTTAGTCACTGAAAGTGGTATTTGACTGCAATAAAACGTTTCAAAGAGATTAATACTACTCATGAAAGTATCGTAATCAGATGTGAAATATGCGAGTGAATGAATTCTACTTGTGTCTCCATGAGTAAACTGAATGTATGGCAACTGCAAAGTGCTCGTTTCAAGATCGACATCATGAACGTAACGTAATCACATTTCCTTTCATGGATATAAAGTAATTGCTAGCACTCACCGTTCACCAATCAACCAATAGGAATGATTCTTGAAATTGTGTGTGCTCATCTCTGCCTCCTCATAAACAACCTTCGGCTGCTGAATGGAGGGATGGATACATAGCTAATATTTTGCAAACGTTATTTTATGCGCATACCCATGCACATAGCCAAGTGGGAGGCGACACATTCCAAAAAAGTTAGTTGCTGTTATGCAAAGGTGATAGGATGTTTGTCTCGCACACCGACCTTCGTTTTGAAACGCATTCTAAATTGCTCAATGCTCTCGGTTTTCATTTTCATTCACTGAGAACAACAAACACCAAATCATCTTTCACAACTGGGTGACTATAAAAGGAGATGTGACGGATTTACTGAAACATTCAAGCTGAAACTACTTCACAATATAAACTGGATCAACTAGATAAAATCGTTGTCTCAACCGGTTTATAGTCCTTTTTGATTGAGTTGTAGATTCGTGAAGATTTCCAACCAATCACAAAGTTACCCTTTATCTTGTTTTCTTACATGACGATGTTCTTGTTCGACAAGGTGATAAGTGGATCAGAGAGTGGGTTGAAAATCTTCTGGATGAGGGATCGAAACGTTATGAGCATAATGCACCTTCTCTGATTCATCGTTCATTGCAAAGACAGGGTCATGAAAGGTTGTTTGTAAAAACATGCCAGAAATACAATGCATATTCACACAAAAAATTGATGGTGAGCATTGAAGATGATCAACATAAAGCCGATTACAGAATGAGAAGCATTTTTGGGTATGGTGATGCGACGTGGGGTAGTATTATGTTACTAAACGTAGTAATTGACATCGCTTGCAGCAAGATGCATTCCTGTTTTCATGATCTATTGCATTCGAACGAACACAATTTTTTATTCCTCTCCATCACGCGATTCAATGTGTTTATATATATATATATATATA